GTCCAAGTGGTTCAAGCCAGGGCGTTGATTTCGACCAGATGCGACCGGACCTTTGGAGCTTTCAAGAGCAACGCCCCCCCAAAAAATCCACTCCGGTCTTGCTGGACCCACTCCGGGGGGCCGTGTCTCGCAGGCAGCCTTGATGCGGGTCTGCCGCACTCTCGATCCGATGGCCGAAGTCTCAGTGACGGGCGGTCACTGAGGGTCAAACGAGTGACTACGACTGTAGTCGACTGTAGACCCGACGTGACCCCTGTTTTGGAGGATCAACTATTCAACATATATTGGTATTTTCCTATCAAACATGCAGGTCAAAAGGGTTCTGGGATGGTGGAATGCATTTGCAGAGCCAGACTTCAAAGGCTCATCACTTCTTTCAATTGCTCTTGCTCCAATCCAAGTTTTTTGTTGAGGACAGGTGTAACTTTGGAACTCGCCCGTGACTTTTGGTGTTTCTTTGCATGGGACTTGGAGGCCTGGTGGGGAACTCCTTCCGCAGTGAGTTGTCTTTGGAATTGCATACTGCAGCTGTCGATCGATTGCGGGTTACGTGGATGTAACAGGCTGTCGATCGACAGCCCACGTGGTGCATGTAACAGGTGGATATTTGGATCGAAAGAAGATATACATGTCTGCCGGTGAAACAAAGAGTCGCTCAACAAAGACAAGTCTGCCACGTCTGTGCGTGGCAACCAAAAAGTGAGACAAGTGGAAAAGAAAGGGTACCACTGAGGAGGCGTCATAGTGGATATTTGGCTCATACATGTGGGTGTGGGTCGTTTGACCTGGTAAACCCGGGGTCTTTCCGACCGAAAAGGAACAGAGGCTGTTAGACTGTTCCTATGAGGGTCCCGGTCCACCGTAACCCGGGGTGAAAAAGTGGCAACAAGCGGTTTTTACGGTCACCCTACAAGTCAGTTTGACCTCATTTTACTGGGGATTGTCATGAAAAACAACACTTGAGGAGGTAAAAGACCAGGTTTCACTGGGTCTTTGGTACCCCCTCCGAACCCCGCTTGTTGCTGTGACGTCTGCATCCGCGGAGACCGACTGCACCGCACCCACCAACCCACATGGCGCCTCGTTGAGGGCGGATCCGGATCGGAACGTCGGAGCGCTGCTCGAGCCGCGCTCCCCAGGATTCGGGGCGGATCTCCGTAAAGAACTTCGTGGAGCTGGTGCGGGGTCAACCCCGAGCGATTTGGGCCGCCAAGGGCGACAGAACCGTGGTGGTTTTTTGAGCGGAGGGCGGTGTGTCTCGAATCCGGTGGAAGAACCGTGTGGCGGGGCGTGGGCTTGTTTTTGGGTTTGAAGAGGAATGAATGGGGAGTGGGGGGAGGACCCCACATGAAGGAGATAGAAGTTGGATCAAGGGCATGTTCAAAGAACCATCAAGAAACATTGATTGTTTGGAGCAGTGGAACAAGACCATGCAAAACTAGCAGGGAATGCTGAGTTTGTAGAGGCTCGATTAAAATCGGGTGGTTTCTTTTGCCTCAAATATGCCTGTTGTATAGGGAGATCCTGCCCCAATGTTGCACTTTGTTGTACTGATGCTCAGTGTCGGCGTCTCTCGGCGTTATTTCGTGCGCTTTTTCATCTGGACAAGTCCGATTTCTTCTCCCCTAGAAGGTTGATATCTGTGTGGGTGATGGCACCCAGCACCCTGTTTTTTTGTCCCATCAAAAATGAACAGATTCCGCTGTATGGGATGTCAACCGAGCTCCCATGGCTTGGTGGAAGAGTGGTTTTGACTCGTTGATATACAGGTTCCCGCACAAAAGCAGTGATGTAAGGCGGTCAACAACTGCTGGCGGTCAAAAATGTGGGCAGGTCAGTCATACCGCCCCCGCTGATGTCGACCGATGTGGGAGCTTGACGGGCCGTAGAACTGACGGAAGAGAAACATCGCCACGCTGTAGGCAGGAATAAAAGAGACAGCAAAAGGCAAAAGAGGAAAGGGGAACGCTAGTAGAAAGAAGCTAGCAGGTTGGAGGCTACTAGGAGCAAGGACGCTTAGGTTGGAGGCCATTCCTAGTAGGGTAGATGAAGCGGCCCGGAATTCGACCCACGAAGCCCCCGTCTAAGACTGGCTAGCTAGGAGCTACGAACCTAGCTATTTGCTAGTAGGTAATGCCCTTCCAGCACCACCCAAAGGGTGGTTTATAGACCCCCCAGACTATCTATTTTCCACCTAATAACCACCCTTTGGGTGGTGCTGGTTGTTACTACTAGCGATGCCCTCTTTACTGCTTCTACCGCAGCAAGTCCGATGGAGTCACAGGTCTCCTTGCTCTACCAAGTCCTCGAGCGGCCTTTGGCTGAGGCCCATCGACAGGCGGGGACCAGAGCAGCGATTGAAGGAACCGTCAGGGCCGGGTAGGATGTGGAGAAGACCTTCTCCAGACCTTCGTCCGGTGCTTTTCCAGCGAATCAGTGATTCACTGCAGTTCTAGCGATCCGCGGGCCGATCCGCGTGTGTACTTGAGCACCACAAGATCTCTAGGAGTGTTCAGCGGGAGAGCGCAGGGGTGTCCAATTCGAACCTTCTATGGTTTTCTACCGGCCGTGCAATAAAACGACAACAGGGCCACCTTGGACCACTTTGTGGGTTTTATGTTGGTTTCACGGCTTCCCTATGTTTCCCTACTAATTACTGTACAAACATTTACAAACTGAAAACATCTTAAAACCTTAGGCCGGGGGCTGGGGGTGAGAAACAACGGTTGGATAAGGTTAAACTGGCCAGCCAGCCATGGTTAGCCTTTATGTCCAAGAGGACATCTGCTTGTCTCAGCCCATGGCGTGCGGTGTGTTTCACCATCCACACCATCCGCGCTATGCGCCAAACAAAGGCGATGCAGGAAGAGCTCAGTGGCGAGGAGATGACGAATTTCGTTTCGCCGTGGTGCCTATCTTTTGAAAAGACACACCACAAAAATGGAGTGATATTTCCTCAGGATGTCTGAGACATGTGGAAGAGAATTGCTGCAGTCTTGCCCAGACACTCCATCTAGGGCGTATACTAGAGTGGGGTGGCTTCAGGGGGGGTGAATATATGTAAATATGCCTTACATGTAATGTCCGGGTTGTGCTTAGAGAGGAAATCCATGACAATGCCCTCACAAGGACCATATAAGGCACCTTTTCTATGTGCACAGGTCTCTGGAGCAGTAAGCATCAGGGTACCAGAACCAGCCGACGAGGGCCAAAGGATGACATTGACTCTCAAACGGAACACATCCGCAAACTAAGGCCGCCAGAGCCCATCGATGGTCTCAGATCCTCATGTCTTCAGCCAGCCAAGCCGGGGCCTCCGTATTTCACACGAGGGCCCAGCCGGCCCAGCCTGGCGGCAGGACCTGGCCTATCCGGAGCTCTTGAGAGCCTTCGAAGCAGGAGCCTCAGATGGTCATCACGAAAGTCGATGGCTGAGTCAAGTGAATCCTGTGAGTCGTGTTCCAAAAGGGAGCAAGATACATCGGCGATGATGTAGGGTTTTGTGGTCTTCATTCTAAACCCCCATCACATCCCATAGTACTATTTTTCAATGCTCGGAAGCATGTGGGCATGCGGTTGTGTCATGGCAATGCTGACTATATATAACTAGGTGATGGTTTCGGATATTTTTATGTTCAACCCTTACTTGGGGATGATTGGACCCTCTGACTAATATTTTTCAAATGGGTTGAAAACACCAACCAGATAATATATGTTGACAAATATGTCTCACCATTTCCGTGTGCTGCCAGGAATGCGTTTCGGGCGCCGCTAAAAATTCCCCGGTCTTCGGGTAGCGACGGCCCTGCGGCGAGCTGTTTCCCGGGCCGTCGCAGTGTCCTTCAGGTCGACGTACCAAGTGGGTATCAAAACAGGGAGACCTCCCAGGTGAAGAGCTGTTTCCCCTGGGTGGAAGGTTTGGACGGACTGGCAGCCTAAGAGATGGCTGAAAAAGCTGCTAAAAGCCCAACTCCATGACGTGCCAAACTTGAGGTGAGAGCAGAAGGAGGTCCCTGGTGTGGAGCCTCTGCTGTTTGACTCGCTACTATCGCCCTCGTCTCGATCTGGAAGGGGCAGGGCCAGCCAGTGTTAGGTAGTGCTGGATGTTGAATGTATCATCTGAACCCTTGCCATGACTTTCAGAGATCCACTTTCAGCTTCTTCTCTTCACGTTCCGTCACCGTCACATCCTTCGCATTCTGATGGATATCCTTCGCTGTCTCTCCGAGGCATTGGTCGAACGAGTGTGGCTGACATCCGAAAATGAGTGCTTGGGGTGTGGTCTTTCGCAAGATCGGCTCCCGGACGAATGGGAGGATGTGGGGGGGGGAACAGAGCACAGACGTGGCTTTTTTGGATGCTCTTGGTGCCAAAAAGGCAGGAGCGGCGAGGACCCATGATTCCAAGGCGCCCTTTAGATCCCTTTCTGCTCTTTCTGATCTGGCCATGCAGTTCGGTCTCCGGGATGTGAAGATCCAGAGTGTCTTCACTGCCGCGAGCGCTTGCTTGGATGAGTCTCCGAAACACGGTGTCCACCACCCACGGCACGGCCCCGGGAACGAATCGGGCCGTGGGACGGCACAAGTCGAATTGAGCGAGGGACGGCGCAAGGCAACCCCCCAAGAGATCGGTGGCTGATTGGACCCTCTCTTCTCAAGCGTGGCTGCGTTCTCACTGATGAAACATCGCAGCTGATGTTGTCGTTCGCTTTGGCAAGAGCTTCCCCCAAGAGAGCTTGGGTGCCTTGAAAAATAAGTGACTTTGGTCATTGGTCTTTTTTCCTTTGTTTTTGCAAGGGGCTTGAATTGGGAAGTCACTCTATATTTAGAAATTATTTAGATACACACACCCTTCTGAATCCTTGTGCAACGCCACTCTAACATGAATCCTTCTTCACTACAAACATCTACAGCATGGTGGCATGGCATCTCTGCATCTCTGCTGCTCTCTCTTCGGGCTCAGAACTGGCTTCGTCGTCGCCAGCCCCACGGCCGCTCTCCATGGCGGGACCCGAGGCATATTAGTGCGGACTCCCCAGTGTCGGGTGGGTGGGTGACCTCCAAAAAGGAACCACGGAAGACCTTGGGGCCTTGGTTCGACTCCCGGGTTTCCAGCGACACCCGACGAATGAACACAGCTATATAGCTATCTGACGATCGGTCCCGAGGGACCTGGACCTTTCAGGGGTCTGACGGTACTTTCAGTCCGACTCAGCAGTAGACGGGCGAAGTCTGAAGGACGTGCGAAGCGCAAGGGGTACTGAAGATACTTCGTCTATAGGGTAGTAGAGTAGGGTAGTAGAGTTCCAAAGAAGGACGTCTTCGAAGGTTCCCTCCGACCGACCTCCATGAAACGCGCGCCATCTTCAGCAAAACACTGAAGGCCGAGCGACCAACATCCAACACAGATCCGACCTGGGAGCAGTGTTCTTTTATGAAAAAGAACCACTGAACCACTGATTGATATTGATTTCAAGAGAAGACGGTACCAATCCCACTCTCCGTCTCGTTCTTTTTTGTGCCACGAATTAGGGCTTCAAGGCATTTAAGTGTCCGGCAGCACATCAACCCTGCCTCTAGGGACATCTACACGAGGGACAAGGCACCAGGTGTTCGGTGCTTCGTTCTTTTTTTGATCCACACACCTCGAAGAAATGGTGAAAGGCAGCAGTCACGTTCGACGGGGTGCCGAACTTGGAAGATAGGGGTACCCCTGTCACATCCACTCACTGGATGGAACTAAAAACCACCCCGACATGTGACTCCTGGCAGAAGACGTTTCTTTGATCGGTGAATGAAGCTGTTGCCAGCACTATACAAGGCTCTAAGGTAATGCTTTAACGCATCTGTGGTTCCAGCTGTGCTACGAGATCCCCTAGACGATGCACCCTGCCACAACCCATCTCTGCGATTCGCAGAGAAGACCGCCAGCAGACTTCTGCCCTTGGTCCATCTCCCATTCACCTTCCGAGAAGACCGTAAGAGATGGGCACAACCTGGTTTCGTAGTAAAACCAAGTATAAAACACTGGTGTAAATCATATAGTAACTGATGGTGGTTCGGTATGAACCATGGTAAACACCTAAAAATCCGTGGTTGGATGGCCCCGGCTGGCGTCGAAACGGCGCCGTTTCACCAGCGCGCGCCACCGGCCACCGCCCAGTGGCGCTGTCTACAGCGCCGGCCCGGCGCCGCCCGGGATGCTCGGGATCTTCTCTCCGGGGGCGGTCGTGGCGAGATCCGGCATCAGAGTGGTTCATGTATGTTCATGTCTATCTTTTCTACTTAAAATATCTTAAACTAGTATGATCAAATTAGTAGTTATAAGTTATATTCATACTAAGATAGACTTGAACCACTATGATGTTGAATCCTTTTTGCTTCGTGGTTGCTCAGTGGACCGGGCCACCTGTGGTGCTGCTTTGCTGACAGGGTCTCCTACACTGAGGGCGTGTAGGCCCTGTAGGCCTACAAGGAATTCACCTCTCTGGGAGTTGTGGACTTCAGGGGGGAAAATCACTCTGAACGAACCTTTTACATGCTTGAAGTGGATGGCACATGATGGCACCACCTGCTTGGTATAAAAACGATCATCTGAGTCTTCGAGCTGGGCCTGCCATCCACGATGGAAGCGATGACTACTTAGTAATCAGGGAGTGTCATCACGTCCCTGAACAGGATCTTGGATTTATGAACCAACAAGAAGAATCACTTAAGTTAGTGAGGAAGAAATCTGGATGCCACCGGTCCAGTGCTCAACACGACGTTTCAGCGCCGTCTTCAACACCAGCGGCCCCGCCGCTGAGGTACAGCAGCCCCAGCGGCGCGGCGGCCGTGTCAGTCGGACGCGCCCGGAGAACGCACACGGACGTCGAAGAAGCATTTGGTGCGGACAGGGGTGAACGTGTCAGTGACCAAGTTAAAGTTGGTCTTCCAAGTGAAAGATGTTTAGTCTTTTGTGGGATTGGTTTTCCAAGTGAAAGAGGAACATGCCCTTTTTTTGCAAAGGAAACTAAGCAGAGAAAGTTTTTGTGAAGTTATAGGCCACCTGGCCATGTCCGCAAGTTCGAGAGTAGGTCTGAGTCTTGATATGGCAGGTCTCCCATCAACCCCATGTGAGGCTCCGTCCAAGTCACCGTGCCACCTCTCTCGTTTGATTGGTTGGTTGGCTGCAACGTGGTCGATGGAGAAATCCACATCTACTTTGCTCCTTTCCCAAGCACCGTAACAGTAACATAGCCGCCCGGCCGCCAGACCGCCAGATGTTCTCATTTTCGCCGACACCAGCACGACACCAGCACTCACAGGTACACCCCCCTTAGACCAACTGGTTGTGTCGGAGACACACCTCGTTCGCCGCCAAGCCTCCGAGTGGAATCGATTTTGCATTCACTGGGAGCAAAGGCCAACTACAGTATCTTAGCGTCTCTAAAACTAGCCAAATCAACATAGAAGCGGTGCTTGAGGGTGCTTCAGCAATCCTGGAACGGCAATGTTTGGTCCATTTTCGCCGAACATGTCTTTCTACACTGGGGAAGAGACCCACATGGAACCTGATGTCATGTAGCTTTGCATGACGATTTTCCGAAGACCAACCCAAGTGGTTTTCAGGTTCCATGTGGCACCTTTTTCCGGGTAGTAAGTAGGTGGATGATGGCGGCAGGTGGAGACTGAGTCACTCACCTGACACTCTGAGGTTGACACGAGAACCGCAGGTGCCCCTGGGCAGAGCCTTGGCTGTGATGATTCCAAATTGGGGGAGCCTGCGAGTGGCCATTGAGTCCCCCAACTTCTGGAATGAGCTGACCTACAAATTCTTAGGTCGCTGTTAGGTTCGGCCACTTAAGCTCTTGAGCCCTTTTTCTTCTGCAAACCAGTGGTGTTCAGGTTAGCTACTCTCCCTGGAACTAACATGGAAGTGGAACCCCCTGTGTGTAGAGGAAAATGGTCTTCCAAGTGACCATTTTTGACTTCCATGTTAGTTCCAGGAGTGTGTCTTCAATCATGAGGTTACATCCCGTCGCATCCGGTTTACAGTCTTCAGAATCCCTGATCCAGGCCACTCTTTCAAGGACTGAACAGGTTCACCTCCAACCATGACCCAGCTGTTTTTCATGAGGCTCAAAAAAGTCTGGCGGTCTGCATGCTGCATGACAGCGCCTGCCGGTCTCAGCGCCCAGCCAACGCCCAGCGGACCTGGTCTCGGGGCGCATGGACTCCGCTCTCAGGATCTACATGCCAACACCCAGCTCTCCCGGTCGTTCGGTGGGCGCGGTGGGCTACAGCGGCTACGGCGCGTCTGCGCTGCCGTGTGCAAGCGCGGGCGCAGCACGACGGCAGTGGTGGGATGGAAAATGAGTTGCTCAGGCAAAACGTGCTACCTATGGACAGAATCAAAAGTTGATCCAGGTTCCTCTAAAGTTCTTATCGAGAAGATATGATTCTCGAAAGGCATTTTTTAAAAGAATCTACTATATTTTCCTCCCCGCAAAACAAGCGCATCAAGATTCTAGAGATCCCAGAGGCACTTGTTGGGCTCTTGGATGGCTTGATGCTCGTGGGATTGTACGCCCAACTACTTATTAGGACAAGGATATGAGGAAGAAGCTAGCGGCAACATACTGTAACACAAATCATTATACTTCCCTAATTTCCTCAAAACATGTGAACACTTTTTAGGCAACTAGCATCATGAGTTGTTTTCAGAAAGCTCTTGCCAAAACAGTATATCATAGTATATCCATTTCTGAGTCTGAGATTTGTTGCTGGGTCATTGCATGTGTTTCACACTGCTCTATCAGCCATACTCGTGTTCTGGCGGTTTACAAGCAGATTGGTCTTATAGTTGGTACACTCCCAAACACCAAGACAGACCCTTGCAAGGAACACATCATCTTCCCCTTTCTACATGGGCAAACTTCGACGGCCAAGTCTGTTAGTCTTAAGCATCCTCTTGGGCCCTGGCGCCTCGTGGTCTTTCTTTCCCCGAGGCGGCTGCGTCCATCTATAGCATGGGCTCCGCACCCGCCGCCATGCCGGCCACGATGTCCGGCGGAACGATCTCCGGCGGTGGCATGGCAATGCCGCTGGGATGGAAGGTGGTGTCAGCAACCAGCGGGAGCGTAGCGGAGGTCAGCATTACTTGGTGGCTGTAAGGGCACCTCCTCGATCCGTAAATGACTCAAATGCTTTGAGGAATGTCCCCAGCTCGCAAGAAGTTGGTCGTAGTCCGTGGATACGGCTCAAGAAGCTTCCAAGTCAGGGGTGGGCGAGCCTTTTTGAGACCAAGACCTTGTATGGGCTGGGCCGGAGCTGAAGAGTTGCGGCTTCGGACGCAGGACTTCTGCCGTGCAGGAGGAAGCTAGAGTTCCTCATGGTCCAGGCTAAGGGTAGCTTAGGCGTCGATGGCTTCCCCCAAGCACTTACACAGTCTGGTTGTGGCAGGAGAACTCTTCGTCTGTTGCTCTTGTTAATATATATACACTCCCTGGAAAAGTCATGGAAGTGAACAATGGCCCTTGGGTTCTTGGAAGATACCACTTTCCTCTACAAACAGCCCATGCCGGCGTCGCTGCCACCCAGCCGTTGCCACCTTTGGTTCCCCAAATTTGTTGACCTTGTTGCCAGGATCATCCTGTCTGGGTGTCCATTGGTTGTCCAATGGATGACCCAGGTTGGTGATAAAATCATTGGGGACAAGCCTTGGCCAGGCTTCATCACACGACCACACGACCGGGCACGCAGCGGAGCGGTCCCGGTACACGGAGTGGTCTTCAGCGCCCCAAGGCCGAGCTTAGCCAATCCGAGCCTTAGCCCTGGGCAATCCCCGCTGCCCGTGCCCTCGGTGCAGCCTGGGAACCAGCCACAGCTGCAGGCGCGGGCCACGGGCCACGGGCGGCCACGGTTTCGGTCGGAAAGAGTTGAGAAGGGAGGAGGATGAGGAAGACTATGGACGTGACGCGGGTCGGAAGATGAGGACAAGGTCTCGAAATCTGAAATTCACATGATTTCACTCAAAACACCAAGCTTTTTCTCGAGAGGCTCTTTGGGGAAAGAAATTAACATATAACTTATATTAATTTTATCCTTTTACAACTTGGAAGGAGCGGCTTCCAACCAATTCGCCAACGTACTGCTTCATAGAAGGATCCAGTACTAGTGGTGGTTGAAGTGGCAGATAGCAATCCTGCCCATCGTGCTCTCTGACCCAGTATGCGGAAGTTATAGCCATCCTTGGTAGATAGTATGCAGAGTATTGCAGAGTTAGATGTCAAGAGTATGATGGTTGTTCATGGTTGCTCTTCGCTTGTATTGCCAATCTTCCGGAAAAAATACACACAAACAGCTCCCCAATGGATCGGCTGTCGTGGAGTCCCTCGTTTTTTCATTCAAAAGAACATCGCTCGACTCACCCGACTGGATGGGGCCTCTTAAGCAGTCCACTTATATACCTAATAACGATGGCCTCCAACCTACTAGCAATGGCCTTCTCCGTCCGACCCTTGCCCTTTTCACAGGTGCCCAATCGAGAAGTGCTCTATGGGCCGCCCCCAGCACTGACCTCTGGCTTGTTTGGGGTGCCCAGCCGGTCGGACTGGCGTCCGCTCTCCGCCGCGTCAAGGAGTTTGGGTAAATTATGGTAAATTAAAGCTGTTCAAGGAAGCGGCGGTCGACTGGCCCGACCTTGCCAGCCTGGATGGCAGGTGGAGAAAGAAGAAAAGAAGTTCCGTTTCATGTTATGAGCAAAAGCCAAGACATTCTATGAAGATCTGTGAAGAGTTTTGGCAGCAGAATGACTATGTTTTGACCGCCGCATATTATGGGAATATTGCCCAGACATGCCTTGACTGTCACATTGAAGTGGTTGCTTGAACATGAGTCTCCACTATATATATATATATTTTTACCTCCAAGTAGTAAGTAGAATATCCTTTGTGTGCGCACATGAGGCCAGACCCAGCCAGTGTGGAGCGGCAAAAGGAGAACTACTTGACTTCACTGGAGGAGCAGGCGAGGAAGACTGGCTGAATGATCACATCAGCTGCGCAACAGCTATACAGCTGGAGCTGTTTCGCTGTTTGTTTCGACCCCCAACGGGCGGACAGCCCAGTCGTGTCGATCCGGAGAATCCGTCGATCCGGGCTGGGCTGTCGAGTTCGGTCAGATCAGGCTGGCGGAAGATGGCTAGCCGATTGGCTTAGGATGGCTTTCGTTTCTGCTGGAGCACCACGGGGCTGTCGAGATTCCTTGATCTTGTAAGTTCACCATGCTCTATGCTCAATGCTCACTCTTTATAGAGCTATGCCTCTCCAACATGACCCCGCGATTTCTGGACACCGGACTCCTTCCCTCCCTGCCTGCCCCCCCCCTCCCCGCGGATCCTGTTTCTCCGCCGAACTCCGCTCCCGCTCCATCAGGAGCAGCGCAGCAATGCCTCGCTGGAGCTGCAACGAAAGCAGCAGTTGGAGTTAATCCACTCCCAGGTGCCTTATACCCTGTGCTTCACCGGTGCGTCACTGACACGGAGCCTATCTTTTGCTGTTATTTTTGTTGGCGTTCAACAGTGACGGTGGGTCCGAACCGTGTCAGAGGTTTGGAGAGGGGAATCTGGGAGAATTGGGGATTTGAAAGCATGGATCAGAATGTGGGACTTGTTGCTGTCCAAGGACGAGGATAGCCACCGCTACGAAAGCCGTTGTTTTGGTCAAAGAGCTTGCGGTTGGGGGTGTATACCGTATCACTGAGCCTTACCAAGCTGCAGATTAAGAGGCATAGAGGCATCAGGGTGGCAAAATCAAGCAAGAATTGAAGGGTACTGACTGTATTGAAGGGTTCTGACCTTGAAAATAGCAGCACATGCGTGGACCTTGGGTGTCCGATTCCCAATGTAGTGTAGGGGCTTCTATTGATTCTATTATATTGTTTTTTTGAAGGTGCGGTGCTGGTAGAAGTTTGTGCGGCATTACTTATTGCAACGCTCAGAAGAGTCAACTGGTCCCTTCCACGCGATTGCGTGGATCAGTCCTTCGCATTCCTCCCGACGTTGGGGTCGACGGATCATGGACGCAGGCTGTACTTCGGAGATAGAGAGCTGGGACCATGAAAACCGATTCACTTTTCGACGCGACCGTTCTCGCAGCACCCTGCAGCCGATCGCAGCCAGGCACCGGGCGCACTCGGCAAGCCGGCTGCGGCTCGACGTCGCCAGGCGGAGCAGCAGAAGAAGCGACTCTTCATGCAGATTGATCAGCAGGTGAAGACCCAGGTGCGCAGAGAGCGGGGGGGGTCGCCGCGTTCAACGGAAGATCGTCCGTGTGATGACGTGATTCATGTGAGCTCATGTGGTGTTCAACCGGGGATGGGAGGGAGAGCATTTGACAGAAGCAGAGTGAGAAGCAGTTATCGGGTGCAAGAATTCTAGGCAGGGTCAAGGTAAGGTCGCTCGAAAAATGGGTCCGCTTGTGCAAATCCATTCGACGATGGTTTTTTCTATGGTTTTCCTATGATGTTTTCTGGGTTTTGAGATGCTCCAAGCCTCCAAGCTAAGTTTGTATAGATTTCCAAGCAATCAAGGGTTGCTAATTTCAAGAGTTCTATCTGTTCTATGATACACTCGAACTCAACGAGATGGACTTGGATGCCACCCCCGCGTTTGTAAAAGGAAAGTCGTCAGGCCTAAGGGACCATGTGAGATCGCCTCACATTGTGAGATTGCCACAGTGCTTGTGGTTTCGGGATGCGAAGTCAGAAAGACTCCGAATGTGCGGCGACTAAGTAAAGGGGAGTGTCCACTTCGTTTGGTTCTCCGGGAGGGTATCTATGACACGATGTTGCAAGTGACTCCAACTCCAATGACGTGCAAGTTGAAGACGCATCCGGACGTGATCGGCCCCTGGGAGAAGACTTCCTCGCGGCGACAACGGAGACAACGGCGGCTGGTTTGGGAGCCTTTTGGGGGAACGAAAAGACATTTTGGAGCCTCCCCAAACCTTCAATCCTTTAGCGGCCTTTAGCAGATATACGAGAATCCAGGTTTCTTGGCTTTGTTGGCCACTTGGTGCCTGCATGATGATGAAGTCTGGAGTTTCTGGGTCTTCTGAAAAAGCGACAGGAGTTTTGGAGAGACAGCACTTCTAGTAGACCGCTGCGGGCTCAACAGCTGAGGGTTTGAGAGCTGTCAATATCTGACCCGATATTTGTGCTGAAAGAGCGAACTGACGTACTGCATCTGGGCGGTCTGTGGTTTCAGATGTTTTGATTTTCAACCTTTTACGATGATTGAATCCACTGACTGACTCACTGACAAACACTGACTATACTGACTGTTTTTCAAGTGAGTTGAAACCACCAAGCAGGTCTCGTTTCTTGAAGTGGCTGAACTATCGCATTCTTTGGTACAGAATCGAGATCTGATCTCTTAGGCCCGTGGTCCGTCGGGACCCATTGGATTGGCCGGTCAGACAGGTGTCCGCGGACGACCAGTGGTCAGTCATGGACTCAACTCCCAACAAATCCTGGGAGCCACAAAAAACCGGAGCCAACACACTCTGCTGGGATCCTTCGGCCACCGCACCCGAAACGCGGGCGCTGCCCGCAGCGGTTTCGCGCCGGGCGGTTTGGCGCTGCCATGGGCCAATCGCAATGTTGCACATCCAAGGACGGCCCTTTTCGACCGAACCGGAGTTGGGGACCGGTCTCGGTGTCGGGACGAGGCAACACATCGACGTCCCGGCAGTGTTTTACAAACAAAGACTCCAAGTGGGTCAACAGGAAACAAACCAAAGGGCTGTATCCTGGAGGTGTCAAACAAACATAGGGAGACCGAACGAACCGCCGGCGCTGAACGCCACGACCTCCTCGAAGGTTCGGATAAGTTGTCTACCCCACCGGTGGGCGATGGGTATCTCCCTTTATCTCGAATCAGATCAATATCGATATAGTGCTTGTGTTGCCAATGAGAACCAGGGTGGCGAAAGAAGATCCGATAGGAATCAAGGTCTGATAGGAGCCCTTCACACATTGGAGCCCTCTCAGATCCCTTTCATCCGAGGCCGACCCGCGTGGCAGGAGGCCATGGAGAACTTGCTCTTGGAGGAGGCCTTGACCTCCGAGGGCTGCCCCATTCGAAGGCCGGGACAGGGTGGAACATCGGATCAGTGAAGGGATGTTTCATCCCGTTTGGGCTCCTGTCCCACCTCCGTTTCGAAGATGGTTGGGGTGGGTGCCAGGAGGCTCTAAGAACCGAACCTGAGGAGATGGGCCAGGAGCCCTAGGGCATATTCCTTTTGAATCCTTTTGACATCTATCCCTATGGATCCACATACCGAAGCGAGATCGGTACGGTGAGGAAGGAGACTATTTAGGTAGGCGCCATCTCTAGGGCCCAGTCATACTTTCTGAGAAGGTATGTGGATCCATAGCTAATAGACATCTATAGGACCCTGAAGGGATGGTGATTGAACTTGAACACCCCGAAAAAAAAGGAAAAAAAAGCAGCGATGAATCGATGAAGAGACACCCCGGAAACAAGGTAATGACCAGTCACGCGCTTTCAATGATTGATGGAGGCTTGACCTATGAGTATAGGATGACCTAGGGACCGAGGCTGGCAGGCGTTAGACACCCAGGTGTCTGAAGCCGCTACCAGTAAAGGCAGCTCAAGCCATGAAAGAGCGCGTGAAAGGAATGCTTTGGGCTTTGCGGGTCTCAGACATGTTCAGGACTGAAAGTTGATGAAGGAAATCCCACTGGTTCTTCGCCTTGACTTGGGGTGTGAAAACACGAAAGGTATGGAGTGACGTGTCTTGCTCGTCGAACCGCTCGAAGTGCTCGACGGGACCGAAATGAAGTAGCGCTTCTTTCTATCGCTTGCGTAGCTTGTCATGTAGAAAGCTCAAGAGGGCCCCCTTCGGGGATTCAAGCCGATGTGGCAGCGAACATCTTCAGTTCAAAAGCTGCGGAAGTATCGACCGTCATGTTTTGAGGATCGAAACTCACACCGGTGGTTGCCTACAGCCGCCTCCACTTAAGGAGGGCCTCGGTGGCGCAAAATGCGCAGGCTTCCCAACTCTTCAGCTGCTCTCTGTCAGCTGAGGCCAATCCCTGACATTCCAGGGAGGTGTGGTATGACTTTCCTTTCTTGGCCGTCCATACGACCCGTGGTGTGAAGTCGTTTTCAAGTTCATTCTTCAGATTGACGAACCTTTGCTGGAGGGCTGCCCACTGAAAGTTGGACTTGTGCAAATCTTCTTCTGCTTCGGTGAGCTGCCTTTTCAAAAATTCAACCTTTTCAATCATTTCACTCAACTCTTCCTCCTGCGCTGTGCACTGCGCCTGGAGTTCAAAGAGTTCCGCCTCCTGATCTCTGGTGATGTCTTGGAGTCTCACATTTTCATCTCGGAAGAGGCGAATCATCTTTTCCGTCTCTGCGTCGGTTTGGGTTCCGACTTGTGAAGAGCTCGAGGTGGTGGTGCTCAACTCTTTAGACCTGGTAACCGGAGGGTTCAGTGATGTAGAGACTTTGAAGCACTGCCAAATGAACATGCCGAAGAGAATGACATAGAGCGCTAGGGTCACTTCAGGGGAGAGGAGGAATGCCAAGGTCTCCTCAACTGCCATGGCTTTCACACACATCATTTGCGAAGTGAGAACTGCGAATGCTAGCTGCTTTGAGTTGCCGGTTCTTGCAATGGCGTGCCTTCTGGAGTTTGCTTGCCTTTCTGCTTGCGACTTCTTCTTGGCCGCTTGGAAGGTCATGTCGGACTGGAGGGAAAGGCAATGAGATCGTAGTCGATCTGCAAACAACTGTCTTGCGCTGTGCTTGGTGACTCCGTCGGCGATTTGGGCTTCCGACGATACCCACTTCAGGCGGGTTTTCATTCCCACCATTTTCTGCTTTGTCACCATTACCTCGATCTTGGTGCGCTTGTCACCCTGGAGGCTAGGAGTCTCGGCCTTCAAGGAGTCGTACAGGGCCTTGGCGTCCACGACCAATGCCGAAGGCATCTCAGGAACAAAGCTATCCACCTGGCGAAGCTGAAAGTCGTAGCGGATGCAGCCTTCCCAGAAAATCAAAAGATATTCTAGAGCGTCCATTGCTGCAGATGAAGCTTGACTTTCGGCATTGAGGGAGGATCGACTGATCCGAGGCAGCTTGAAGCTGCGCCAATCCAGGATGATATAGTCCTGAGTGGAGCCATCTTCCAGCGCTTGCTGGTTGCAGAGAAAAATCAGGTAGCCGCCCTGTGATTCGTTGTTTCTGCGCACTCCCCAAGCTGCGTCACTCATGGCGATCATGCACAACTTCTCCATATCGCCTCCAAGATCTCGAAAGATCAGTGCTGTGTCGCCGTTGGACTTGGCGAATCTGAGAACTTTGTTGGCCTGGGATGCTGTCTCGCCAGTTGCCGTGGTGACCTCTCCACATAGCAAGGAAACTGAGGCGCTGAGGTGTGGAGATGTCTGTGTAGCTGGCCATTGAAGTGCTCCCAACAAAGCTCGAAGACAGCTCTGCTCTTTGGAGTTGAGATTGCGATTGGAGTCATAGTCGGTGCATGTCATCGGTTTCACTCCTTTGAGGTACTCAGCTTGATGCAGCTTGGATTCCGTGGTTGTTCGACTGAGGTGGCATCCACAAAATTCAAGAGGCTTGTCCTCGGTCTCCTCAGTCCAGTGCTTGAAGTTGAAGGCATCTTTTAACTGCAGCTTGAGACTTTCGTACTCAGGGTGGCCATCTTTTCCACAACCTAGTAGGTCATCAACATGTAGACCAACCAGGGAGATCAGTTGCTTGTTGGAGTCATGGAAGGTGTAGAGGCACTGATCCAAGGCGTGAGCTCTGAAGCCAAGGTTCTCCAAGCGTCTGCGGGCGACAATGAACCACTGCCTTGGAGCGTCAGCTTGGCCATATATTGGCTTGATCAATCTCATCAAGGTTCCAGGAGCCGCACCGATGATCTCGCAGGCATCTTTTGGAATCTTGGCCCACAAGGTGCGTTCTTGAGGATCTCCTTGGAGAAAAGCTGTGGACACATCGGCCGTCCATCTTCCCCAATGACTGACCTGGCTGATGGCCAGGAGCACTTGTCTTGAAGTTCGTGCCAAAGTCGGGGATGACGTGTCAAGTGATCCTTGAAGAAGGTCAGGATCGGAGAATCCTTGGAGTACGAGTCTGGCTTTTGCTTTCAAACCACCTTTTCCATCCGAAGCCCATTTCAGGACAAAGCGAGCTTTCATCACTCTGTTGTGGTCAACCGCGGTGGGATCCATCTCAATCTCCCAGACGCCGTTCTCGAAGATGCTGGTCAGCTCGGCTCTTTTGCCTTCAAGGAATGCGAGCCTGTCCTCCAAGGTCATGCGACGTTCGCTGAGATCAGCACTTTCTTTCACATTCTTCTTCTTGGGGATTCCCACTCCGACCGCTTGCCAGATGTGGCCACGGCCGCGAAGAGTCTTGCAGCGCTGGAGCTTGCTGGACATGTCGCCGATGTAGGGCGAACTATACTGCCGTGCACCTTCTTGGGTGAGTGGATAAAGTGTCTTTCCAGTCCAAGCTTCATTGAAGTGCTGCTCATCAGGGGAGTTGACATATATGGTGCGGGATCCTTTCTGCATCGACAAACCGGTGGTTGTTTGTAGAAGATCCTTGGAGATGGGGAACTGCTCAGGATGATATGTGGTTGTTCTGCCCCATGCATGATTTCTGACCAGGAAACCATCTTCAAAGCCCCACCAATCCTTCGTTTCACCGAGGATGAACTCATTGTTCTTCTCATCGTAGTGCCATCCTTCGGGAAGCTTGGTGGATCTGCCAAAGTCGAAGGAGTGGAGGTCGACTTCGATGTCTCCGGCATCTGTTTTGGCCTTCTTGCGAGCCCAGATTGTTTCTTGCTGGTCAAATCTTCTTCTTCGATCCTGGAAGGTCTCAGCCGTGCTGGGAGGCAAATAGGATGAGTCCACCATGGGAGCTGAAGCTGAGGATGAGGCTTCTGGAGGTAGTTCGGCTGGCCGTTCAAGATCATCATCCTCCGGAACTGGAGGTAGCCTTGACGGATCTGGCGGTGCCATTGGCGTTTCCATGTCGTGACGGTTCATCCATAGGCTGTTCTTCATCTTCATCATCCATCAGCCTTTCCAGTAGCTGTGGTCGTCGTGTCTCTGCTTGTTCCTCTGGTTGAGGTGCCGGTTGCAGTGCTGCTGCTGGTAGCATTGCTGATGCTGTTGCCTGTTCTTGTGGTGCGATTGGTACTGCAGCAGGGGGTGGTTCTGCTGCTGCTGATGTGTGCTGTCGCTCTGTTGCTGCATGCTGTTGCTCTGAAGGTGTTTCCTGAGGAGATCCGACGGGATGTCCGTCTGATTGCACCGGAGAAGACATTGTCAGTGGTGGTGCCTCAGTGTCAGTGGGAGTGTATTCCATGTCACTGATTTCAGGATCAACCTCATCGATGGATCTTTTGTTGGACCTGCGAAGGTCGATGATGCGCACTGCTCTGCGTTGCCTCAGGTTGTGAAGAGCTTGTTGAACTCTGGAGGGTCCGTCAACCATGCCATTGTCGTTGACTAACTTCCTGACGTGCTGAGCGCCAGCCCTGAGGAGAACAGTGCCATGGGCCAACCAATAGCAAGCAACAGTGCCGGTGTCAGGGTTGCGCTCGACCGCAAGGATGATGGCCGGACCTTTCCACCTGATGGTGTGTGCCTTGTCAGCTGCATCTCTCCAGTAGAGACATCTTTCTCCTGGGTAGAGGTCCTCGTCCTTGCCGGTATATCGACGAAGTAGTGCTCGGCGCAACTTGACATCAATTTCTGCTTTGCCGCACGCTTGTTGTGCTGAGAACTTCATGCTCAATCTTCGATGAAGACGTTCCTGCTCTGTCATTTGCAACTGCAGTGGCCCGGTGCGTTCGTCTGAGAGGAGTCCAGGCATAGAAGGTTCTCGGCCAAGAGCAAGCTGTGCTGGCGTGAAGCCATTCACGAAGGTGTTGCTGTTCATGGAGGGAACTATCCAAGCAAGGGCTTGATGAACACCGTCGAGTCCTTTCAGTTCATTCTCCATCATGAAAATGGACACTGCTTTTCGAACCAGCTGATGACGACGTTCAACGACACTAGTGCGGGTGTGAGCTTGACCGGGTGCAATTCGAAGTTCGATATCATGTTGTTCACACCAAGTTGCAGTGGCGTCAGATGCCCATCCGGTGCCTTCGTCGGTGTAGAGCTGTTTTGTCGGACCGTGGAACTGAATCCATGCTCGCTCCAAGGCCTTTTGCAGAGTTGGGCCTTTTTCATCAACAACTGTTCGAGCTGCCATGTAGCGTGTAGCTACATCCACCATCACAAGCACTGCGATCTTCTTTGCACGCTGCTTTCGGTGACCTGGTTCCAAGAGCATGCCGATCTCATCCATCTCAAGCCAGAGAACATCGGCTTGCAGCTGTGCATTGAACTCTGAAGGGCGATCCAAATGACTTGGAGCGTTGCCTTTCTTGACAGAGTGGATCTCGCAGTATGGGCAATGCAAATCTTGTACAGCGGCTTGTACTGCTTTGTTGCAACCTCGATCTTTGAGCATCTTCAACAAAACTTCTTTTCGAGGGTGTCCAAGGTTTCGATGCAACCGAAGGGCAGTCCTTGCAGCTTCATGGCCATGGGTGGTGCCAAGCCTTCGAAGAACTCCAGTGAGGGCCTTGTCATCATCATGTACTGCATATACTTGTTCGTTGAGCCCTTCATTGATGAGCAAGCCATGAACCAAGGTGGCAGCTAGCTCTTGCTGGTAGTCTTCAGCTTTTCGGCATCGATTTCGACCTTCTAGTCGTTGGTGGTGATGTAGGCCATTGCATCGCTTGGACATCAACTGATACATAGCCCACTTTGTAGTCTGTAGGCGAGTGGTCTTCTTGATTGGCAACATCGAGCCATCATCTGCCTCGGCCGTGGCGCCATAAGCGCATTGATCAAAGATCGCTCTGTGGCCGGGCAGGTTCTTGAAGTTCCTGGTGTCCCACGCTAAGCTCCATGCAGGGTGCTCCACATGTGCATGATCTCCTCGGCGGACTTGCTTGTAGTATAGTTTCTTGCACATTGCCAAATGAGTGGCGTGATCGACTTCTCGCCGTTCATGGAGATCGTGCGCTTGTACTTCATTGTGGATGTTCACCTGTTGCATGCGAGACCACAAAGTGCATCTTGGGGACATGAAGATTTCGTCGGGCTCCAGGTCGTCACATAGACGGAGAAGTTCTTTTCGGTGAGATGCTTTGCTGAAGTCCCACCCATCCTGGAGTCCGAATCGCATGACCTCAACATCGCCGTGGTCCTTGAGCAGTTGGGAGATCATGCCTTCACCAGCGTAGACTTCCCAGATCAGGCGCTTTCTTCTGGCCAAACCATGTTCTCGAGCATGGTGGATCTGCTGTTTCAGCCATTTTCCTTGGTCAGCGCTCTGGGCTTCAAACATGGTGAAGAGCTTCTCAAGTTGTTCAACTGACTTGGTGGAGGCTTCCGGAGGGATTTCCACTGTTTCTTCTTGGTCCACTTCCACGTAGGTGGTGTCCTGCACATAGTCACCCTTTTCGCATGCCTCGCAATAGGCATTCACTTCAGTTGTCATCTCAAAGAACCGGTCATGAGCATTGAGGTCCTCGAGGAAGTCATGGATCTTGAGGGCGTGCTGATGGTCGTCCTCACAACGTAGGTCGAAGTTCACGGGATTGAAGTCCGTGTAGTCATTCACTTCCTCGGCCAGACGAAGAAGCATGGCTCCCTGACGGCCTCTTGGGATGTCCCGCCAGGGTTCTTGCTGAAGAAGGCGCATTTTGCCTCTGCCAAAGTCAATCTCCGCTTGAAGAGCTTCGAGGAGAGGTCGTCCAAAGAGCATCGGAGTTGCTCCATAGATCACATAGGCCTGAAGGTGGCCTGAGATACCCGCCAGGCGGGTTGGGAGTTCAACCATCCATCTTGCGTGACCAGTGGCGTCACCTCCAAAGCGGAATGACTTGTCACATCGTTTGAAGGCGATGTCTTCCATGGGGTAGCCGATGAGCTCAAGCCATTTCAAATAGCGAAGGATGTACTCGCTGCCTGCCAAGAAGGACGAAGCTCCTTGATCTTGAATGCACGTGTCGGGTTCGTGAGTGAGCCAGCCACCGGCCCTGACCAAGGTCTCACCTTGTGTGTAGGCCTCCTCAACGTCATAGAAGACCTCAGAATCATAGGAGTCCTCAACATCATAGGAGTCCTCAACATCAAAGAACTCTTCATGTTCATAGGGCTCGGAGATGTGAAGTGCCAAGTGCACCATGGTGTCATCTTCTGCTGGCCTTTTCTTCGGAGAGCTGGAACCCGTTCTCTGAGATGTCGGGCAGTTGGCAGCAAAATGTCCTGGCTTGCCACATCGAAGACAGATCATGGCTGAGCGAGCTCTCGCCTTGCCGCTTGGGCCTTTTCCGGCCGTGGAGGTCTTGCCTTTCGAACCTTTGGAAGGTGATTTGGACTTTCCAGCACCTTTCGACTTGCCCTTGAAGGGAGACTGAGCCATCACAGGTGCTTGTCCACCTTTTCCGCCATCCATCACTGCGACAACCGGGTAGAATCCTCTGCTCTGACGAAGTTGGTTGAGGCGGTTCTTGGCGTCAACATAGGTGCTATACACTTCATCAAATTCTTGGGTGTCGAACATCGAGTCCAAATCATCGGGTTCGTCATGGTAGTAGGTCTCATCGGGCTCATAGTCCTGCCATTCACCAACAGGTTCCTGGGTCTCGGTGTCATACTCATGGGCGTCCTGGTAGAAGACGTCATCATCTTCATAGATCTCTTCATTCTCTTGGTCGTCCTCCCAAAAGACCTGCTGTCCTTGCCGCTTCCAACGACCAGTCATCTGCGGCTTTCGGAGGTGTGCTGGTACATGAACATGGCGATGATCCTGACCAAGGATGAGGTATAGGGCTTGTTCAACGGACGGTAGAGTGAGCGATGATCCAACATGAGTTTGAATCAGCTGTTCTTGCTCCTTGGTCAGCCCTGCACGTTTCACCATCATCCAGCCAGTGATCTCTTCCGGGAGGTCGATCCTGTGTTTGGAGATCTGCCGTAGGGTTTGGTGGAACTCTGTGACATACTCGAGGATCGATTGATCTCTCTTGCGCCGCATCTTGAAGAAAAAGTTCTCGAAGTGGGTAGGCATCTCTACTTTGGAGTCGTAGGCCCACTGTTTGTCCAGGCGCTTGAGCAAAATGTCGAGTCCACCTTCCTTTTCGAGTTCGCTCAAATCCAGGTCCTCGCACTGAGTCCATGAAGGGCCTTCCAGCACTGACAAAATGTTCAGCGCGACTTCGGCCTTGCGACCTTGGATTTCCATCTTTCGGGCGTACAGCTTCACTCTGGTTCTCCACTCTAGGTAGCAGGTGGTGGTGTTCTCAAAGCGTGGTATGAAGCTGTCCTTGTAGTCCTTGCCGGTGCTTCCGGCGCCATTTGCCGCCGATCCAGCTGGAGGTCGTGAGGTTCCGCGCTCATGGCTGGACATGGCTGCACGGTCGCCGGAGCCCGCCGTTTTAGGCAGGCTCCGCTACCAATGTGAAAACACGAAAGGTATGGAGTGACGTGTCTTGCTCGTCGAACCGCTCGAAGTGCTCGACGGGACCGAAATGAAGTAGCGCTTCTTTCTATCGCTTGCGTAGCTTGTCATGTAGAAAGCTCAAGAGGGCCCCCTTCGGGGATTCAAGCCGATGTGGCAGCGAACATCTTCAGTTCAAAAGCTGCGGAAGTATCGACCGTCATGTTTTGAGGATCGAAACTCACATGGGGCGAATGCTCCTGATGAAGGATGATAAAGGAGTCGTTTGGTTACAAGGTCTTTGGAGTCTTTGGCATTGTGACTTGGAGTTTCTAGGTGTTTCTTCAATCTTCTTCCATCAACAGCTTGGTCCGCGCGCTTGGCCGTTTTTCAAGAATGCGTGGGACAAGTCGGACGTGGAAGTAGCTTTGTGGAACAAGAACACGAACTTAATGAAGATTCTGGATAGATCTACAAAATTATACAGGCCATGAAGGAAGATTAACATGGCCTGGTTCTTGAGAAATTCAGCTGGGTACCTTCATGAAGTTGACCACTTTTGGAGTATCAACATGGATTTTGTACACTATGACCCTAACCCCCTGTACCCCAGATGTATTCTGCAAGGGCTGTGGGCAGCCGAGATTTATTTGTGCAAAAGGGATGGAGCGGTCCGTGGATTTGGGTTCACTCTAAGTTGAGACTCCCAGTGGGCAGGCTCCGTTTTCCCGCGGGGTGCTTCAAAAAGAAGGGCTTGGCCATCATTGGGACTGGAGCAGCTCCGAGTCCGGTTGAGGAAATCTCATGAAAACCGCGCGCGCAGGGATGAGCCAACGCTTTGTGATCAGCCACTTGGACGTGATCGCCGTCGATGGAAAGGGGTGAGGTGGTGGAAAGGGCGGGTGAAGCACTTTTGATGAAGATGTCCATGAGAATCAACAGGGGCATGAGGTCATGAGACAATACTATTGTGCCATATTCAATAAAAGGCTGCAAAGATTTGTCAACTCATACGAAGGACCTTCAGACACTCGAAAGCATCCGGCTTGCCGGGCTTGCCTTTTGAAAGGGCATCCCGCCAAGTTAAACCTGGCATGTGCAGAGATCCTAAACCGCTGAACAGATCGAACGAGTTCCGCGGACACGCCGGTCGACGTGAAAGCACAAAACCCAGGGGATGTCTTCACATGTTACAGAGAACAATTCCAATTTCATCCCATCTCCATCCATCTCCAACATCTTGAAAATGCCGTCACCTGGGCCCCAAAGCACCACAAGTCTTCCAGCTCCCCCCGACACCCTATCTCCACCCCATGGAAAACCCCCATGGCACCCTAACCCCTCCCCCTCCCCTCAGCCGCAGGCAGAGCTGCCTTTATACCGTGACCTTCGGCAGCCGCACGGCGCACGTCTCCACCTCTGCGCGGGGGCGGCTGAGCAGCGACCTTGGACGGGTGGAGGAGCAAGGCGATCTGCAGGACTTGCTGCTCGGTGGCGGTGGCGGTGGCGAGTGTGTTCAGTGGGAAGAAGCAGTGCGAGCTGGGGTCCAATGGGGTGCGAAGGCGAAGACAGCTGGGGCTCGGAATTGGTGTTCAGGATAGTTCAAGGGAAAATCATGGAAACATTTACAGGAAACCTGAGAACCATTGGTTTCTTGTAGAATTTCTCTAATCCATTGAGGGTCTCGAATTCATTGGACTTTCCCTCGCGAGGAGCAACTCACAACTCATTTACTCGAGCTTGCGGGTAACAACTCGAGCTTGCGGGTAACATAGGACACTTGGCACCTGTCTTTTTCAGGTGCCTCTTGGAATTTGGAGAGGCCACACAACCTCAGATGACCTCAAATTTGATGGTGAAACCACCTCACGAACGCTCGCTCGCTCACCCAGAAACTAGTGCCGCACAAGCAGCGCGAAGAGGTGAACCTCAGCTGACCGTGCCCGGTCTGATGGATCCTGATGAAACCAACTCAACAACTTCCACCTCCCTTTGCTCTTGCTTTTGCTTGGGGGTGATTTGAGGTGAGGCCCTTCTGAGAAGTGTTTCCCCGTTGGGTGCTTCTTTTTTGCAAAGACCTACACCATTCTACACCCACTATAGACATGATATCACCATATGTCTTTATACCCTGTTTTCCGACACTTCCATCCCCGGATTGGATTCCGCATGCTTCCACCACCCAAGCAGTGTCCCCCTCCTCCCCCCTCCTCTCCTACCCCTCGCCGCGCCTCGCGGTTGGAGGCTCCAGGCGCGCCGGAGCCTCCACCGCCACGGGAAGCGGCTTTCGCAGCTGCTGGAGCCGGTGGAGGGCGACCGGGTGCAGCACGTGCATGCCTCTGAGGCCCGGTAAAGCCGATGCCTTGCTCTGCGTGCGGAGCGGGGCCGGGGGGTGAGGGAAGGAGTATAGTACTCCACGGCAGGCGTGTGGAGCGGAGTAGAGGGGCGTTGAGGGTGTTTTGTTGGTGTTTGGGGGTGACAGACGGTGAGATGTAGGGGTGAAATGTGCGTGGTGGTCGTGGTTTGAGATGCTTTCTTGAATTCGTCACCTGTCAGCAACAACGTGTGACTTGCAAGGAACTGGTGCAACAACTGGTGCGAATCCTAATGGGCCAATAGGGGGGTTCACTCCCTCATTCCCCATGACTCACACCGGTGGTGGGGATTCTTCTTCTGAGATCCATGTTGCACTGTTTTCCATCCCATGGGTTCGACGGAGGGGAGGGAGAGGACTCCTGTCCATCCGTAAGAATCGGTCTTGTACATCACAGACTGGCCGCTCTGCTTACTTGGCTCAAGAAAGAGGCAGAAGACTCAGTAGAACAGTCGACCAAGTCACTCGGGCTGTCCTCGTTTCGTGGAACATGGCTCTTCGCGCTGCCTCCATGGGAATCTTGAAGCGCCAGGCTGCTGCGCAGCTGTGGTTGTGGGGCAGTGGCATGGGGCCGTGGCATGGGGTATGGGAACATCCCTCTCTTCCCCGGATCTTCAACTCCTTCGCACTGGGAGTAACTGATGACTGATGGACGAGGGTTCCTGACATGGAATGACCAGTTTGCCGGATATGAGGGCCCCTCTTTAGATGCCCCGACCTACAGCTAGAAGAAAGGGACCAAATTTCCATCCGGCCAGACAAAGAAAGGGACCTTATTTCCATCCGGTTTTCCGGAAATCCAGGCTGAAGAACACATACAGAAAGCAACTTGCTGCTTTTTTTGGCTTGATGGGGTGCCACAGGACAGAGGATCATGTGTGCACACAGAATCTGGATCATCTGTGCACATAGAATCTGGATCAT